TTCAATAAATGTGTGATGAATAAATAAATGAGTTTAAGGTGGATGGAGTGATCTAATCCTGATTTTGGTAAGACATATCTGACTCATGCATTACTACAATGAAAATAAAGTTTTGGATTGTTTTGGATTATTTTTGTCTAATCTTTAATTTTATATGTGAAACTTGTAGGAATAGAATGTAAAGTGGGGTTTTCCCTATTAGTCCAAGCTTGGCTATAAAGAAAACAGTTGGTGAAAAAAGAAATACCCTATGAATCCACTTAATCTCAAGAGAGTCTTTGTATAAACCCCATTTTTTTGAAGGAATTTAGAGGCAACAGAATTAGCTATACCACCATTGTATACTCTTTCATCCCAGAATTGGAGAAGACCTAAATATGAGAGGAAGCAGAATCATACTTGATAGCTTTTAATACATGTACCCAAAGAAAGGCTCTTTTCTTTCCTTTCCAGTTACTCCTCCTAATTCCAAGTGGCAACGGTGGAGGTAAGTCATATATTTTGCCTGAGTTTGCAAGAAGAGGAGACTGAGATTTCTTTTCCTACTTCCTCATCTGAATGGCCTAGTGATACAGCCCAAGGGGAGTTGTTAAAAAGTCTTGGGGCGGGGAGTTTGATGGGCATTTTATGCAGGTTGGTGGCATAGTAAAATGGAAAGACTGATGCCTATTTCTGATCTAGAGATTTTTGAAGGAGGGAGTCCCACTGCAGTAGTTAAGGCCAGCAAGACTTCAAGAGATCATGATATAGTAGGACTATGAAAAAAAAATATGAGGATAACTTCACCCTATCTCAGTTTTATATTGGAGAAGTGGACAGCATCAGTTCCTATGGCTCCAAAAAGAGCTCTAGAGTTTCTCGAGCAAGTGACTGGCCAAGCATTGAGATGTGTAAACCAGAGAAGAGATTGGAGATATGGAATGTTGGCATGTTGGCAGGGGGTCAGAAGGGCGATGTGGCATTCCTGCTTTGCAGGAGTCCTCAGTGATGGAGTATTCAGGGTAAAACTGATCCTTACCCTGAGTATCATCCACACTACCTACATACTAGTAGCAACAGACAGTATTAGACTAAATCAGAATAGGATACAAGGTTTCAAAAGGCAGCAGTTATATATGAGCATCTCTACATTCTTGACTCTCCTCCCTGTCCCTAAACCTGGAGAAGCTACATGTGTAAGAGTGAGGCAAAGGGAATATTCCAAACCCAAACACCAACACACACACACACACACACACACACACACACACACACACACACACACACACACACACAGGGCTACACTGAGGGCAGGAAGAGTGAGAAGAGGAACAGACCATAACCCTTGCCACTCCAGTCCTGTTTAGATACAAACCAAGTATTAACTGTGAGATCCTTATGATATTACAGTTTTAAACAAGACTAGGCAAAATTTTATTATCCCAAAATAAGGGATTCTCTCTGTATTACATTAAGGGACCAGAAAATGGAGAGAGAGGTTGAGCTTCATTAGTTGAAAATAGTTCAGGGAAAGACATTTTGCATTTACAATTGAACCAGTGCACAGTAGCATATCAAAGTGGGGTAGGGCATGGAAACATTCCACCCTGACAAAGATAACTATCTTATCAATGACGTTATTTTAAATTACTGGAAAATAAAAATCATGCATATTTTTAGTTGGCTTTATTATTGTTTTTAATTTTTCCAGAGACAACATAAGCCCTGACAGCTTGTACTTGAGGCAGCTCCTACCAAATCTCCTCCTTGTTACAGAACTGCCAATTGAGATTTCCTAAAAGGACATTTAAACTGGCTTAGTGATTTCTCCAAAGAAACAAAACTTCTTTGCTTAGTGAAAGAAAATTTATTAGGGTTAAAGAATTTTTCAAATGTTTTACAATCTTTGGCCTTGATTTCAATCATCTGTATTTTACTTTTGTACTTGTTTAGTGATTTGGTCAAGGAAACAAGACTTATTTTCCTAGGGAAAGAAAATTTAGTAGGGGTAGAAAATTTTGCAATCTCCAGCCTTTATTTAAATTATTTTCATTTTTCTTGAAATTAGTTATTGCTGTTATGGAGTCAGTGGGGTCCTCTGGAAATCAGACAGGAAGATAGAGTTATGAGTACTATTATGGAAAAAAATTATTCAATGATACTTGTTACACCATGGGAAGGAAGACTTTACTCAGGACTATCACTATAGATATAGGGATCACTTCAACAGGATCTTGCAGCTGGAAACAGAGATTGGGCTGAACTCCAAAGACAGCATGGACAAGTGGGAATTTATAGTGAAGGAGTAGGTACAGTGGGTATTGCTGGATGGAAAATTATTAAGAGGAAACATCAGGAATAAGGAATCTTTTAGCTAAACTGACCTAACAGAATTTTTACCAAGGACAGGTCAGGGTGATCAGACACCGCCTGGGGGGGGGGGTGGAAGATTGAGTCACCTTGATCAGAAATGTATTTTCTGATCCACCTTTGTCAGGGTGGAATGTTTCCATGCCCTACCCCACTTTGATATGCTACTGTGCACTGGTTCAATTGTAAATGCAAAATGTCTTTCCCTGAACTATTTTCAACTAATGAAGCTCAACCTCTCTCTCCATTTTCTGGTCCCTTAATGTAATACATCTTGATTTCTTGATCAGAAATCAAGAATGGAGAGTTCATATTAAATTGACTTATCAGGGTATTTTTTACTATAACTGGATTTTACAAGGAAGTGTACAGACAGACCCAGCAGAAAATTCAGAAGTCTGACTAAAGTTTGGCCAAGCAAAGAATCTTTGTCATTTCCCCCTCTTGTTCAAGTAATAAAGAGAAATTCATCTTTCCTTTCAATGATATAGGCCCATTTTCTTGTTTGGTTGTCTTTTTGTTCATTAAGGATCAGCTAAAGGACTTGGTAGTAGAGGATATCTCCTGGATGGTATAAGCCATCAGGCCTTTAATGAAAGAAGTTTAGTTTCTATGAAAATAAATAAAAAAATAATAGTTGGAATAAGCTATAAACTTAATTTCTAAGTCAGCGCAGCCAGTCAAAATTTCTAGAGGTTGGGCCTGAAGCATCTTCAGTTGCAATGAGGAAGGCAGTGGCAATTTGATAGATTTTCTTGGCTGGCAGTTTGGATACCCCAAAGGCTGTCCATACATAAGCTGTTGTGGAGGTTTCTCTGAAGTTTATATCAAGTTGTCCAGCTTCAATTTGCAGGGCTTTAAGAAAAGAGCAGTTTTAATTATATCAAGTTTTCTAGCTTTAGCTTGCAGAGCTTCAGGAAAAGAGAAATGATTTTAAGCCAGAAGGATGGGAGATAATTGGAAATATTAGTTTGGAGAGTCATAGCCAGATATTGGAGGAAACCATTTATAGAAGAATTTAAGATCCAGCCCATATTATAGGTAGATAATAAAACCTCAAAGAAAATGAACAGGGGTAGAATCCAATGTTGGGTGCACTACAGTTTTCTTCTGAAACATAATTTTTCTCTTAACAGTCACTCCCTATTTCTACCCAAGATAATCAAAGTAAGACTGATTTGCTTGCAACATAAGTTTAGTATCATTAAATTTGGCCTGATTATATACACAAAGTGCAGCAAAAATAGTGATTGACCATATGGGCTTGTTTTTAGTTTGATTTGCTGGAACTTTTGATAAAGAATCTTATACTGGACTTACAAAAATCTCTCAAGATAGGAATCCAAGCCAAGGACTTTTCATCAAGCTGTAACTGTAACACTTACAAATTTGGGTGAATTCCTCTTTTCTCTAGGTACCCAAAATATCCTGAGGTTCTTGGGCATACCAGAAAGTGACACTCCTTACTCATCTGTAAGGTTGGGAATCCTCAGGCCAGTTTTCCCAAGGGGAGCCTTTATTGGCTCCATAAAATCAGCCTGAGTCCCTTAAAGCTATCTGGTCATTACTAAGAATATGGCATTCTGGTTAAAGCCTTGGTAATATTGCCAGTGCTTCCAATTGTGCCCTGTTACAAGAACAGATTCTTAGTGAACTTATGCAAATAACTATATTGCCATATAAATAAGAATACTCACAAATAGTTTCTTAACTCTGGAGGGATCAGGTAGGGAGATAAAGTAAATGTTTCCATTTTTTGTTCACAAAAATATACTTTACTGAATTGCTGTGAGCTATAGATGGCTTAAAAGAAAAAAGTTTCATTAAATCTGGAAAACAAAACATTTAAAGAATAAGCAATGTTTCAAACAAAAAGTCACAAATAAAACAAAATTATCCTGATCAGTTCATTTAGTCCCATGTAATTAGTTCTTGTTCTGCTTGATCTTGGTTAGCAGTTTCATGAAGCCATCAGTTTCTTTATTAGAGTTCTGCAAATTCTTACCTAGTCTAATAGTATGACCTTAAAGTAATCAAGTAATCAAAAATTTGTATCCCAGAGTACTTGTCAGAGTGTTTTCCATGAATCTCCTTGAAGAAGAAACAATTTTTGGCACTAGCTGGTTGCAAATGCTTTTAGAGAAGAATTAAAGTAAAGCAATAACTTTCTATGGATAGCAAAGACTTAAAATGGCCACAGTTAAAAATGTGATGATAGTTAATTATAATAATGAAGTGATTGACAAAGAAATTTGGTTATTTGTGTGGCATATAACATTTTAATGTAACAATTGAAATTACTACCAATAATATTTTAAATTTCTAGGAATCTCATATAATTTTTGAAACACTCATATCAATAACATGCCCATAAATATAACTTAAAGAAAATTTAGCATCACTTATTTGTCAATGCTTCTCATGGGAGAAGCAGGATCCAATAAAAATAACAGAGAGACTAGAAATTTCTCACAGAAAGCCAGAAAGAAGACCTTCCAGCGCAGGGAATCAGAGGATAATCCCCACTCAGAACAAAGAACTAGGAATAAGACCTGCCATCCTAGAAAGTGCCTTTCCAAGGAAATCTGGGACTCTAATACAGCTTCAGAGAATAAGTATACTTATACTTTAAGAATCAACATCTGTCTTACCAGCTTCAAGGGACCTTTGTCTGGAGCAATGGTTCAGTAGTTTGACTCATCAGTTGATATCCGATCAATCAGTCAGGACTGCAGATGACGGCTTTAAAGGCATGCGTTTGAGGTCCTGAAAGAAAGGTCCAATGATGAGTCTGGTCTTATCTGAATTATGGCACCATAACTGTTAAAGAAAAAAAAATTATAGATGTAGGGATCACTGCAACAGCTTTTTGAAGTGGGGGAGAGAGACTGGGCTCAACTTCACATACAGCATGGGCAAGTAGGAATTTAGAGCCAAGGAGCAGTGTGAGAGTCAGTAGATGAGAAATTATTAAGAGGAAACATTGGGGTTAAAGGATCTTTTGGCTTAACTGACCTAACAGAATTCTTACTGAAGACAGGCCAGGGTGGTCAGATATCACCCGGGAAGTGGTGAAGAATGAGGCACCTGATCAGAAATCAAGGGTGGGGGGTTGTTGCTAAACTGACTTATCAGGATTTGTTGCTAAACCTGAATTCTACAAGGAAATGTACAGATGGGCCCAGCAGAAGATTTAGAAGCCTGACTAAAATGTAGGCAAGCGAAGAATTTTTGTCAGTACAAAGAGATTTTTTGTGTGATAATGCCTGAGAAAGATAAAAAGGGGAAGGAGCAGGATTGGGCAGAGAGAGCCTCAGTCTATAACGTAGATCTACAAAGTCTCAGCCAATGCAGACGGGAGCTAGGGAGCTAAGATTGCATGTTACAGTACCCCTATATTGGGCAAAACTGCCAGGTCTTAGTAACATCATGTTGCATAGACATTAACTGGGGGCTGTCCAGGAAGAGTGTGGCATGAGTTGAAAAACTGAGGTGGATGCTGAAGTTGATGCACTTGGACAGTGAGTTCTTTCTTGAAAGGAGATCTAAGCTGTGCGTATTTCTTGCTCCTACAACTGATTGTGCATTCAATTTTTGTATCCCCAGATTTTCTTTTAATTTTTCAGGTGTGGTAAGTGTTTTGTGGTGCCTCATTAGATACTCATCAACCACGTTTATACAGCCAAACATCTGGACACCCAGGATGCTCAACTGTTTAGAAGAGCCACTTTAGCACACATAGAGCTGGAGTCGTTGTGTGACTTAACCAGATTCTGAGTCACAGCTAAGCATTCTTTTGATCACATGAACTATGAATTCCCTGACACCCTGACAAACGAGACTATCTTTTACTCATATATATATATATATATATATTTTCATTCCTTTCTCAACCTACGCAAAAAACACAGAGCCTAGCAGAGCAAATGCTGCCTGGGAACATCACAGTCAATGTTGTGTTTAATAGAATGATTGATTACAAAATGGTTTACCTTCTTCCTCTCACTTTATGTCACTATAAACAGCCTTTGTGTCATTCGCTACTGCTGGTGGCTCTGCCTTGGTTTTGAAATCAATTCATTTGTCTGTTTTCTTCTTTATGAAAGAAGGAAGAAAATTCCTAGTGGTAAGGGATAAGACAAATAAAACAACACTGAGAAGGATAAATGATATATTAATAAAAAATGGATTGAATGATCATTTTTGGCACCTGCCTCTCCAGTGACATCTCAAGAAAGATAACCTGCTTTCCTGCACACCACAGCAATGGCTGGGAGCAAGATGTGTTACAAACTGAGGGAGCCAAGCATCCATATGTCAACAAAAACTTGGAAGAAAGGAAGAAAAGAAAAAAGGGAGGGAGAGAGGAAGGAAGGGAGGAAGAAGGAAGGAAAGAAAAGAAAGGAAAAGAGGAAGAGTTTAGAAATTAATTGTTCACAAAAATATGAAAGTTGGGAGGTCCCTCTGTGTAAATTTAATAACAGCTTTCACTTGTCAGTCAATTGAGGATAATTTTATAATTGTGAGAAGCTTGCTTTCAGAATCATGACATCTAAATACACCCGAGAGGTCCAGTTGGTAGCTGGGGTGAGATATGAATGTCAGGAACCCTTAGCAGCTGCCGAGGACAGACCTGTCCTTTGCAAGCTTTGGAAAAGTGAGCAAATGCTCACCCTCAGTCTGTAGCATCCCCTGGTGGTCACCCTCAGGATAAGTCTGGCAAGTCAGAAGGCTGACATTAACCTAAATAAGTGAGTAAGAACCAGTTCCTTCACAGAAGTGGCTTCATTTTCGAAGCCTTCCACTGATGGGTGCCTTTCTGTGCTAGGAGCTAAGCCCTTCACTCCTGACTTCCTGAAGTTACCTGAGGAGAGCTGCAAACGGGGAAGCTAAAAACACAGCCCCATGGGGGCTTTCTGGAGGGCTCTTTGGTACAACTGATTATGATGTTCCGCTGGATAATTTACTTGTTTCAAGTACATAATTAATGAAATGATTATTCATAATTAGTAAATGCCCAGAGAGCAAAGAACACAAACAATGTTCTGACTGGCTGCCAGTAATTGTCAGGTTCACACTAATAATGCTCAGGAAATGGAAAGGCTCTAGCATTTGCCTTTAATTTTATTTATAAATGCCATTTCCTAACAGCAGTTGAATGTTGTGAGCAGTGTATACCCTATGGATTATGTCACCTCCAAGTGCCATTTCTCATGACATCCCTTGCAGAGTACTCAGGGGAGACCGGGCACATACCATTGCTTAGTTAATTAAGGCCTTCCTTTCTAGTGGAAGCTTTTGTAAATGATGCCTGCCTCTTCTCTCGCTCTTCCTCATCTATTCATGAAATCACCCGTGCTTCTAGTCCCTTTAGGAGACATACTATATTGGAGGAACCAAATTCTGTTAACTACCAGCTTGGCTTCTAATGAAATGCTTTACAAGGCTAAACAACCAAGTTTTTATGAGATAGCCTCCCTTCCTGTAGTGATGGGGAAAAATGTCTTAGTAGCTTTCCTGCTGTAGAAACTTTTCCACCATTATTTTGTTTTCTTCTCTACTGCTGATCAAAACACTGCCATGTTCATCAGCACAGAGTATTGCAACAGCAATATGCTGTAGAAAGACCCTGGTCAGAGTGAAAACCATTTGTAGAGGCTATTGCCAACTTCACCAGTGGAGTTCCTTTTGGAGTACAGCAATCAAACAGCTGGGCTTCCCTGTGCAAGTGTCCAAATAAATTAAACTGAGATGACAGGAAGGCAACTTATAGGCCTCAAATACATCTCGCAGTTTGATTTTCCTCTTGAGTATGCACTGTTGAATTTTCAGGAGTGTATGGCCTGGGGTGCTAGATGCAGATGTTTGAGTTTTTTGTGGATCTGGGAGCAGGAAAGCGGTAGGTGAAAAGTGTATTGTTGCTGACCAGTCCAAAGCAAGCTGGATGCAAAAAGTTAAAGGTGGCAATTTGGGCTGTAGGCAGAGATAGCCCAAACTTTCTGCAAAGCTCACAAAAATGATTACATTTGGTTCTGCCTCAGAGCACCTAAAGCTATAGTTGAACTCCAAAATTTTATCCCAAAGTGGGTCACTTTTGCTTATGCCAAACTAAACACAAAAATGGAAAGGGATGAGGGTTGAGCTAGCCTATTCCTGCCAGGGCTTTGACTAGAATAAATTTATCCATTCAGGATATCTAACCCCTTGCTATTGAAAGTGCAGTGCATGGTCCAGCAGCACCTGGCAGCTTGTTAGATATACAGAATCTCTAGCCCCACACGAGGCTCACTGAATCAAATTCTGCCTGTTAACAAGATACCCAGAGGATGACTATGGACATTGCAGTTTGGAAAGCCCTAGTTTAGGGCACTTGTAGACGTGCAGTTTAGAAGAGATGAAGATGCATACTGAGTTTCATAAAAAGCAAGAATAAATCTATTTAATATCTTATTTATTTAGCTTTCTTTCTGTAGGGACTTGACTTTAAAAAAAAAGAAAAACTTGATTCCCCAAACTTTTGAAAAGAAAAGTTGAGATGTACTGTGGGAATGATAAGAGTCAGACTTTTCCATAGCTTGTGAACATTTTTAGTGAGCAGTGGGCTATTTTCAGAGCAAACATTATATTATTAGCCCAAAAGTTATGAGAAATATCATAAATAATAGGGTTCTATTTCTATCCTTTTGAAGCAGCAAACAGATCAATTTATAGGTGCTACCCACTTTATCTCCCAGGACTCTGAAAATTCTTTTGATCACTTTAAAAAGGAATGGTCTTTAACGTAGAGTAGATTCCCTTTTTAAAAATGAAGGCACGATTTGTGCGACCCAGTTGGGGTAGAACAAATAGTCTCCAGGGGCTGAATACTACAGAACTGGGCTATTGTGACATTAGAAAGCAGAAAACTTGATGATTCAAAGTCTTGCATCCTGTAATTAGATAATTTTCTCTAAATATCTGATTGGGCCTGTCCTTCCATCTCAGAGCCTCAAACAGCCTGCTTGCCCAGAGGCCAGTCTGCACAATAGGGGGCTCTTTTTCCTTGCCACTGAGGAGAACTTCACAGCTGGCTACATGAAGAGTGGATCATGAGAGTCAAACAGAGGAGCTGGATTTAATTAGAAAGGACTAATTTCACAGGGGAAACAAAATTATAGAAATGAAAGAGTGAATGGCATTGATGGCTTAGAGAGTCACACTCAGGGGACTTTCTGAATTATCTTGAGAGAAAATCTAATTAGTTTCAGCTTCACTGAGAGGTTACAATGCCCAAAGTATCAAGGAGAGCTCTTTATCAGTCCCAGTGTCTTCTGACTGTTCTTGGGGCACAGATTGCTAGGGAAAGCAGAGCAGAATTTGCCATAGAAAGTCTCTTCATTTTGTCTAGCTCCCAGACCGTGAGGCCTAGATTATATTTACTTCTTAAATGAAACCATTTCGTTTCTCCACATGTGCCTCTAAACTCTCACCACAAATGAGAGAATCTGCTAAGCAATGTCACAGATCATGCCGCAGTCTCAATCAGATTGCTCTGTGAGTTAAGTGCTATAGTTCACTTTGAACAAATATTGTATACTTTTACTTCCACCAATATCATATGCCTGGCAGTGTTTTTAACAAGGAAATGGTGAAGGGGAAAAAAAGTATTCTTCCTTGATAATAAGCATATACACTTTCCACATCAAGCATTGTCTCTCCATTTCATGTTATGTGATCCTTCCTGAGAGTAAAATCAAAACCTACCTAAAAAGAGTGATCTGAGTTTT